TAATGATATAAAATACTTTATTTTTTAATAAACATTTTTAAATATTCTTAATTTTATATTTTTTTTTTTTTTTTTTTCATCCTTTTTTAGTATAGATAAAATAGTTTAATATTACTTTTTTCTTTTTTTTTGTTCTTTTTGTATTTTCTTAATTATTATTATTATTTGATTTTATTTGTTTTTTTTTTTTTTTTTTTTTTTTTTTTTTTTTTGAAATTATTAAAAAATAATTGAAATATGGGAAATAGTAATAGCAAAAATATTCACGTCTTTTTACAAAATATTAGTGAAAATAGTTTTAAAGAAAAAGAATTATATTCAGAATTATTAAATTTGGATGAAAATTTTCAAAATGGTGATGATTTTTATTTAATTAAAAAGTTTGTAGATAATTCAAATAACATAACTTTCTTATTTAAATTTTTAATGAATACCCTAAGTAAAGTTCTTCAAGGTAATTGAAAATATTTGTTGTATGAATTTTTCTCATTTTTTTCTCATGTCTATAATTTATATAATTATTTTATCTTAAAATAATATTCATCCGAAAATTTTTGTTAGTAATGTTTTATGCATATATTATGTAAAAATATTAAAATCGCATAGATTCATAAACTTAGCGTTTCTTTTATTTCAAAACTTTTTTTTTTTTTTTTGTAGATACAAATAATAATTATTTGCATGAATGTAAAATATGCATAAGAATTTTTCTTTGTATATTTCCAGTTGTTCAATATAATTATAACAAAAAGGAAATTATTAACTTAATGTGGAAGAAAGATTATTTTGAAAATTTGATTGAACATAATTATATTTGTAATAATATACTTATTTTGCATATTTTTAATTTTTTATTAATTCTTTTGTTCACTGAAAATGTATGTATTAAAAAAGGTAATAACAAATCAAAAATGGTTTTAGTAAAAAATATTATTGATATAAATAGATTGTGGTTTAATAAATTTTTAATTCATGGAGATACAAAATATAATGATAAGAAATTCACAAATTTAAATTTAAAAAATAAAAATGATGAATATATTTTTAATGATGTAAGTTATATTAAAAAAAAAAACAAAAATGGTTTGTTAAGCGTAGATAAATTGACTGTTAATGATTCTAACTTCAAATATCTAAATAATAATAAAGAAAAATATGAATTAAATAATAATAAAAATATATTAGATTCATCTAATGAGAAAATTAAAAAATGTGCATATGCAAAAGATTCCAATTATGTAAATTATTCCATTTCAGAATATGCAAATAGTTCTCAAAAAAAAAGGAATACGGAAATTTTATATAATGATATAAGTTTAGAATTAATTAAAAATAGAATAGATATTTTAAAATGCTTATTAATATTACTAAGTTCTTATATGTATTTTGATGATAAAAGTTTTTTAAAAAAAAAAAATTTATATTTATTTCTATTTTCAAGTGGAGAAATTTATTTTACTGCCAACTTTTTTTTATCATTGTTAAATACTGTTTTTGAAAACGAATTTAACTATTTCAATTTTTTTTTTTATAATGATACATACTTAGAATTTTATAATTTATGTATTATAATTTTAAATATCTTAATTAATTTTAATCCGTTCACTTTAAAAAATAAAAAAAAAGTTCATTACATGAACAGTGCAGCAAAATTCTTTTATAAATCAAAAAAATATTTTGATTCAAAAAAAGGAAATATGAATTATAATAAAAATAACAAGGAAAATGAGAAAAAAAATGAGAAAAAAAATGAGTATAAAATAGATATACATAAATTATTAAATAATAAAAAAATGATTTCATATATTAAGGATACTCAAACAAATGAAAATAAAAGTTATAATAATATAACTGAAGATTTGTGTGTGAAGAAAAAAAAAAAAAAAAGTGCTCAATCAAAAAATAATAGCGAAAACAGCCATAGAAATTCATCTTCATTTGAGACTATTATATATAAAGATATATATGACGAATCCTGTTCTTCTAGTAGTAGAAATATAGAAAATAGTAATAATGAAAATATCAATTCAGATTTAAATAAAAATAAAACAAAATTTAATAATTTAGAGAGTGAATTGAAGAAAAAGAGTAAGTATATAAAAAGAGAAAAAAAAAAAAGTAATTATATTTATTTAAAAAATAAAAATAAAATAGAAAATTTTTATTGTAACAATGTATTTTTAGAAATGTTATGTAAATTAGAATTAAATAATATAAAACATATTTATAATGGAACATTAAATATATTGATAAGTTATAAATTATATATTGAAAATTATAACGAAAATTTACCATTTATTGGTAATTATTTATGCTTATTATGGAATATTATGAACAATAATAACCTTTTCATAAGTTATATGAAAAAACATAATAGTAACATTTTTTTATTTTATATTTTATATATATTACTATGTTTGAACAATCATAGGAAAAATGAAATGCAAGAACTTGCAAATACTAAAAAAAATGAAATAATTACTATTAATAATCATAATATAAATGAAGAAAAATTTACTTACAATAATGAAAATTTTAATCATTCTAATAAATGCAGAGAATTTAACATTAGAGTATTTGATGGTCTTATTTATATTTGCTTGTTCATTATATTAAAGATATCATCAAAATCAACTATTTGTAAAAATTTAAATCAAAAGTATGATCAGAAAATTAAATTAAATTTTTTAAAAAATATAAATCAATTCAATAATTATGTAGATTTCTTAGTATTTACCTTATACACATTAATTAATGATAATATATATTTTTTAAAGTTTGAACGAATTATAGATATGTGTATTACTATTCTCACTAATGTTAGTGTTTATATTAAATCAATGAATACATATTCTTGTGAATATATTATTAATATTTTAAAAAAAATTTTAAAAAAGGAATGGATATTATCTTCTCAGAACCATTTTTATTCACTATTTCTCCTACTAGATTTTATAAATAATATTTTATCATATAATTTATATGATAATTATAATTTAATTTATATGATTATAAAGAATAAAGATGTTTTTTTTTCAATTCATAATTTACATGATGTCTTAAAAAACAATTATTTATGTGATTCTAAAACTTTTAAAGGTTTTTATTTATTTTTACATTTTATAATTTCATTAATTTTATTAAAAATTTATCAAAGCTATTTTAAAAATATATTTTTACTTATTTTATCGTATTTTTATTTTATTATATTATTTATTTTTTTTTTTTTAATTTAGATTACTGGATACCCACAGAAAGTTGGTTAATTAATTGGAAAAATAAATTACCTCTTCACTTTATTAATAGCATAATTTATGATTTAGCGAATTTGGTTATAAGATATAAAATAAAAAATAAAGAATTTTATATTACTTTTATATTTTTTTTTTTTTTTTTTTTTTTTTTTTTTCAATTTTTGCATTTAATAATATATGCAACTATTATTTTTTTTTGAAAATTTCTTTTTTATTTTTTTAGATTGAAGAAGAGTGTGATGAAAAAGAAATATTAAATTATGATGAAGCTGTAAATTTAATAAAAAATCATTGTCTTACAATAGAAAATAAAAAAATTCCTTTTATAATAAGAAAATATGAAAAAAATATTCTTTTATCTAAATGGTTTACTAATTATTTGTACTTTCTTATATTTTTTCATACTTACAAACAGAATCTTTTTATTAATAATGGCATCAAGTTTATTTTTTAATTATATGAAAATTAAATTAATAAAGAAAATTAAAATATTGTTTTAATTACATAGTATTTTATAGTTTTATTGATTCTATATATTTTATTCTATTTTTATTTTTTGTGTTTTTTTTTTAGTTATGTTGTAATGTATATGCATATTTTTACATTTAAAATAAAAATAAAATAAAATAAAAGAAAAGAAAAGAAAAGAAAAGAATACATGTTATTATCAAGAAGAAAAGAATATATCATTAGACAAAGTAAAATTTTTTATCAAATTAAGAAAGAACAATAAGAAAAAAAAATAGCATTTAATATAAAAAAATATAATTAATAATCTTTTTTTTTTTTTTTTTTTTTTTTTTTTTTTTTTTNAAAAATTTTTTTTTTTTTTTTTTTTTTTTTTTTTTGTGCACTAATTTTTCTTTCTTTTTTTCGGTAAATTATTAATTACTAAATTTTTTTTTTTTTTTTTTTTTCTTAAGAAGAAAAAATGTAAGTTTTTATCTATTTATTTATATATTTTATTATTTTTTTTTTTTTTAAATTATTATAATTTTAAGTGAAGATAATTATTCAAATAATTTTTAGCTAATACATATGTGATTTATTATTTTATTTTATTTTATTCTATTTTTTTTTTTTTTTTTTTTTACAATAATTATAAATCATTAAATAATGAGTTTATTGTCATATTTATATAATGAACAAAGAATAGTAATAAATAAATATGTTGTGTCTTAAATTTATCAAGAAATTTCCTTTTATATAATTTGAAGTTGCATAGTATTAAGATATAATTAAACAAATTTTTATTTTTTAATTTTTTAGAAGTAAATTTTTTTTCATCTTTTATATACATATTTTTTTTCTTTTTTTTTTTTATATAAGTTTTAACAAAATTATTTAAATAAAACACAATTTCTTTTTTATTTAATATATCTAAAGTGTCTATTAATTTATATGTGTTTATATTATTATTATTAATATTTGTATTATTACTGTCATTATTTGAATTATCATTATGATTACTACTGCTATTGTATTTTATGCTATTTTGATCCTTCTTATCAATATCAATTAAATTTTTTCTGTTATTTTTATTGTTATCAGTAAAACCTTTTTCTTCAAATATATTTAAAAATATTCTTTCCTTATCAGTTTCTAATTTATTTATAATCTTATCGTAATAATTCTTTTTTGTGGGTTTTATATTTTTTACAATGGAATGTAATAATTTATTTACTTTTTCATTATAATTTTTTTTGTAATAGAATTTTCTTAAATCATGTAAATCTTCAAAATACTTTTTTGTTTTTTTTTTATTTTTTTTTTTTAATTCTTCTATATTTATTTTTTTTTTATTTTTAATTGTTTCTTTCTTTTTTTTTTTATCTTCGTTAAATTTTTTATTTAAATTTAATGATAAGCTTTGTGATCTTTGAAAATTTTTATTTGATTTCTTTTTTATTGTTATGATGTTATCACTATGATATTTATATTCGCATAAGCCATTTTTATTATTTTCTTTTTTATTTTCATATATATTTTTATCGCATTTAGAATTTTCTTTTTTCAATTCTTCTTCTCCTATGTCTGTAGATAACTCATTTGAAAAAATAAATTCTTCTGAACATATATTAAAATTTATATTAATACCCCATAATAATAATAAAAAATAAATTAATATATTTTCTTTATACCTATTATTTTTTATTTTATTTATATAATCTACATTATCTTTTTGTACCACAATATTATATGAATTATCATAGTTATCATTATATTCTGTAGAATTATTATTTATATTATCATTATTAATTATATTATCATTACTATTTAAATTATTATTATTATTATTATTATTAATAGTTATATGGGTATTTTCTAATGTTTTATAGTTATTTAAGTTATTACTGTTATCTTCATAACTTTTTTGTTCATTTTTTGAAGATGATTTTGATGATAACGAAGATGAAGATAATGATGATGAAGATAAGGAAGATGAAGATAATGAAGAAAAGAAGGGAGAAAGTGAATCAATATGAGTAAAAAAATTTTTTAATTCTATTTTACTCTCTTGAGTCTCTTCTGAATCTATTTGAGAAATATTAAGTTTATCTAAGGATATATTTGTTTTTATTGAATTAGATAAAAACATAAATAAATCTATTAAAAAAAATATAAAAAAATTTTTAATAAATGTAATCGTGAAATTGAATTTTTTAGCTATTTTTCTTTTTTTTTCAAATTTTTCTAATCCTTTTAAAATATTTTCTTTATATAAGTAATTATTTAATGGTAAGTTGGAAACTATAAAATCCCATAGCTCTTCAAATGTAATGCTATTCGTATCAGAACAATAGAAGGACGAATGTAAATGAAAAATGTAATAAAAATTATTATAATTATACTGATGTACTAAAGAATAATTTAAATATAAATTTTTATCAATATAAAACAAGAGAGGAATTATATCTTTTTCGGTGACAGTGTAATTCCTTCTTTTAAAATCATTAAATAATGGCTCAATTTTTGATTTTTGATTTATAATAAACCTTCTTCCTTCTTCTTCCTTTATCCATTTATTTAATAATTTATATATTTTTTTTTCAAAGTAAGAACTTTCTTTACGTTCTATTTGTTTAATAATACTGTTAAAATCATTATTATCTTCATGACTTTGTTTTTTCTCTAAAGATACTTTATCTTTCATATCAATGGTATCATATTTAATGTTACCAGTAGAATTATTTAAATTAATATTCAATTTTAATATATTTGAATCATTATCATTTATATTTGAAAATTTAAAATTTCCATAAGAACTATTTTTATGTTTAAATTTTCTGTTTAATTTTATATTTTCTTCATAATAATTATTATACATAGAAATTTCTTCTTCTGATAAAATATTTTTTTTTTTATAAATACATTTTAAAATGTCTTGTATTTCTCGTGTTTCTTTTAATTTATTTTCTTGTATTAAGTTATCATATTTATTATAAAAGTCGTTGATTTTTTTTTCTATTGAAGTACCATCTAAATACACATTTTTATTAATAGATGAATGACTATTATTATCAAAAACTAATTTTTTATTATAAAAACAAATATCATTTATGTCTATATCAGAAATATTATCATCACTTAAAGAAAATTCTTCATCTGTTAATCGTATAATATATTGAGAAAATAATAAAATAGGATCAAAGTTTTTTATAATATTTTTATAATTATCATCATTTTTATGCGATATTATCTTGGAGATATATAAAACAAAAGAGTCGAATGTTTTTTTTAGTATTGGAAAAACATTACAATACATATATGTATCTACATCATCTTTATCTGAATATTCAAAGGAATTATTTAAAATAATATCATACAAATTAGTAAATTTTTCTAATTCATTTTGTTCTATAGTATTCATATATTTTCTATAAAAATTAAGTGCTTTTTTAGATTTGTTTATATATTTTTTTTTAAGTCTAGTTTTCTCATTATTGACATTGTATTCTAATTCATTGTTTCCTAATAAAGCGTTTAGCATATTACGAATAATATCTAATTTTTTATTTTCATTCATTATTATCTATTAAAATATATATAAAATACACTATTCTTTAGTTAATATAAGAAATATTATATTTCTATATTTCTCCTATTCATTATATAAGAATGTTTATTAATTACTTTTAATAATTTTTTTTTTTTCCTATTTTTTTAATGTTTTATTTTTCTTTAATTATAATTATCACTTGTACTACTATATTTATTTAATTATTCATATATATTTTTTTCTTTTTTTTTTTTTTTTTTTTTTCACATAT